CAGTATCTCACCATCTCCGATAGCATGTGATAAGACTTGGTGATCAGAAGCAGCAGAAAGCTCACGTCTTCGACTGGAAGATAGAAGATGTGACGAGAGGCGAGACCGAGGGTATTTATGGCATTGTTTCATGCGCACATATGAGACCAAGATCTTGGCTCTTTTTAAGTGGCCAGCTTGAAACGACGTGCGTCAAGCGCGTTTTGAGTAGTTCCTAAAACCCTTCGTAAAAGATCATATCTTTTAGAAAACGCCAACTATCATATCGTCCATCTACCTGGATTTGATCTTGCGTCTGGGCAGACGAGCCGTCATTGAGTCTTAGTCTAATTGTGGCTGTGGTCTATATGTCCTTAACATTGACACATACTTCGTTGATTTCAGTCAATTGACTGAGGGTCGCACCATTCAAAATGTTGATGACGGCTTGAGAGAGCGACAAGTCCTAGCTGGGTCCTCTAAGTGAAAGCAAGGGAGCGACCAAGTTCGATGGGATTACTATCTCACGCTTACTGGAGAAAGTATGAGAATCAAATTCAAGTTTAATGTGCAGATCACAAAATCGGTCAGTGCAGAGCATTACGCACATCCTGGCATATCAGACGATATGTAGAGATTTGATTTATCTGACAAACAGGCTCCTTCCTACGCAGTAAATGCGTGAGTTGACGTTGTGAGTGAATTGATCTTGCTTCCACGCCTTGCCGTTAGGGAGGGTGTCTATTAGATAAAGTCGAGGCATTCCGGACACAGCGACAAGGGAGATTTGAAGCATAATCAGGATGATGACATTATGATATGCCGAACTTGCAGGACTCGACGTTTATCGATCTCTATAAATTTGTCAGAGGTGTTGGCAACGCGTCCCTGGATGGATTCACTGACGAAAGCAATGAGGAAGGCAATTTAACACATATTGGATCCCTCGAAATAGAGTCAACGATGGATCTAGCTTACATCCGCCTCTGGCTGGACGTTATCCCATCCCTATTCGTGTGGTCTCACACCTTCAAACAAAGCGGTTGTGCCGACAACCCGACGATCCACCGAGACAGTTCCCGTGAAAGGCCTGAACCTCCAATCAGCTCTGACATCAGCCTCATAATTTGCCAGCGCTTCAATCGCCTGCAAAACAGCCCGTTGAGGAAGTCCTCCAACGCGATTCCCCGAGCCGCCGACATCTCAAATGTAATATCATGCTCCTGATCATAGACCTGTATCTCACTTATCAGGGAGTCTCTGTCCATGACGGCCAGATGCATTATCATACTCGTGAGTTGGTTGTAGAAAACTGCTGCTGTGCACAAGACGCGGTCGCTGAGGCTGGGGTGCACCTGGAGGTAAAAATCCCTGTTTCCAGGGGCCAGAGACTGAGATCGGTAGGTCTGCGTGCCGGCAGACTCATTGTACGTCATTTGGGGACTGGTTGAGCCCCATGAAATGTTGTCATCCTCGCTCCGCGCGCCGACGCGAAACACCTTTCCAAGACCTAGAATTTGCCCTGCCAGAATGGGCCTGAACTGAATCTCTGCGAACCCTTGCCTTTGCCATAGGTGAGGGACGGCTATGATCGACCACATGACGTGCTTGACAAGCAGCGGTGGGTCTCCTGGACGTGGGTTTCCAATCAAGCGGAGGTGGATATCCTCTGTTCCGTCACAATCCACGCGCATCTCTCGCAGGTTCCAGTCTTTGTCCGCTTCTTGGACGGCACACGTGATTATGGCGATGTATCTCCGGAAGCTGTTGAGCGGGCGTGCACCTGGGTCGTAGAAGCATGAAGTCCTGAAGTCGCCTGGAGGTTTGGGGTCGGGGAATTGAAGACTGGATCTATGGGCGATTAGGAGGGATTTTGATATGATTGGTCCAATTTACTGACTCGTTTCCGATCCGAATGACGGTGCTACCTTGAAGTAGATCAGGGCTAGAATCTGTGAGTATGTGGGACATGCCATGTAAGCATTCACCCACCCTTTGATCGAGGTGGAATTGTCAATGGAGTTTGTGTTTTGAGGTCGTCCGAGACTAGTGGCCGTGAGGGCCAAAATGTTAAAGAGGGAGATACAAAGTTTCCCATGTTGTTTTGGACAATGTTTTATCGGAGAGAAAATACGATATTCCCGTAGAGGTAGTCGAAATTGTTATATTGCTCTCTATATTTTTTCAATACACAGACGCAGTGAGAAGATGTTTCAACTATATTCCTGCAATTCTAGCGTGTTGTCTCGCGGCATTTGGTGACAAGCGCCTGTGCTCAGACAATATTTTGTCTCAGGTGGTTTAGACTCCGTGTAATGACCCCATCAAGATTGAGAGCCAAATCACCTGGAATAGTCTTTACTCCAAATGTCCCAACATCCTAATCTGGTTGGCAATATTAGGACTAGAAGTAGGTAGCAATCACATTTTGTTACCACTAGCAAGTCCTTGAAGATCTCAAGCGGCCACTCCAGGGCAAGAAGCGGACAGTCGTTGAGCGAGAGGATTCAGTAGGGTAGTCGGGTCTGACGAATAATGACGATAAAAATCCGTGGATAAACCCACTGACTGTGCAATATGCGGCGCCACACGTTGAATTCGTTCTTCCTCCACAGGTATAGTACTCGCAATCATATTACAGGTCACACCTCTGAGAACGTGAAACGTACATTGAGCTCAACGAGTGAACCATACTTGATCCCGAGATCAAAACTCATCGCTAAAGTTCATCGTGCAATATCAATTGTTTTCATAGATTTCGCGTATACTGTCCCAGTTCATACTATCCCAATAGGAGAGTCTGATCAATGCTTTGAAGTCTCTTGCCACAAGTTAGAGCTACTGCATCGATACCCGTGAGTTCAAGAATATGTCAAGTAGCGTGTCTACGATTTTGGGCAGCAACAAAGCACTTCCCTTCCTCATGTCCAACCTCAGGCCCCTGAGCTGGACAAGTCTCCTCTAGACTGAACTTCTCAATAGTGACAAAGTTCGAATCAGCGCTTTTCTCACGAGCTATGCGTCACGGCTTGATCTGACCAGGCTTCGGCAGCGTATTCACCGAGTGATACAGCTGGTCCATCACAGTTGCCCACGCGTCATCATCATTAACAGCACAATCGACCCCGGTGAGAGCATTGTTCGCATACATTACTATGACCTCTTCTTGCCCTAGCTCCGGCGTACTCAAGCAACGAAAGTATTTCGGCGTCCCGTTCTACATTGTATGCCTCCTCACAAAAAGCTGTCTCGATGCAGTGACCCGGTAGGTCATCGTGGAAGGTGCCTACATTACAGGCGTAGGCGTGGTTCCGGCATCAACCGCCGTTGTCGCGGCCAGAGCATCTAGCCCACGTAGGGGATTCTTGCAGGCGAATTCTTGGATATCGCTGCAAGTTGTGAAGGACTTGTTGGTGCGGACTGTGTCGGCGCCTACGAAGACTTGAAGGGCGGTTATGTTTAGGAGACATGGAATGGTTTGCAGGAGGATGTGAATGATGTGGGTGAGGAGAGGTACGGAAAGAGAAGATCCCATAACAATATACGATTCTTTTCTTCAAGAGTCTTGCATGAAGCTGGATCTGGAGGCAATGCTTCTCTGTATGAGGCGCTGAATGCATCTTACAACGTATCAGAAGTCGACCAAAGAACATGGAAAGGAGCATAGAAGGGGTAAATATTGTTAAAGACTATGTCTTCCAAATGCCAATGTATCAATCCCGTTCATTTGTTAACGGGATTATGGGAGACAGTCGATGAAACGACGGATATTTGAAAGTCATACTGCGAAATATTTCTTTCGAGAGTTTTGCGAAGCATGGCACGGCTTCAGGATCATGGTCAGAAGCACGGGTAACGAAGGCATCGAACAGCTGGGCGGAGATGCAAGCTACCCTGTTGGCCGATCGACGTAAGCCAACAGGTCGTGATCATCAAAATACAAGGAAGCATGGCCCAAGTCTTTTGCTGTTTATAACGCGAACTCCAAGACGCTCCAGAAACACAATCGCCAGCACAGGTACCAAGGACGACGGTCAGCTTACCGATATAAGCCGTTGCGCTGGTATGCTAAAGCCAACAATGGCTGTGAAAGGGTATCTTCATGACTAGTAAAATGTAAATGCATGGTGGAGAAAGGTGAAAATATCAGTCACTATGTGATGGAGGCTGGACGTGCGAGCAACAGGGCTTATGAATGAGGAATTCTCGGATAGCGGGATGTAGGGTAAATGCGATGCCGGCAATCATATTCAGGCCGATTGGGTTGATGGACCATTTGTCTGAGATGAGCAATATCGGAGATGAGTTTAGGAAGAGGTGCATAGTCAGTCAAATGGCTGTGTATGGGAAGGTGCATGTTACTCGCTTTAATTCAGGGAAGGGAGGGGCTGAGAAACGTCTAGGGTGCGGCCTTGTGTGTAGAATCACCTAGCACGACTCAGGGCGGGCGTATGTGGTCGTGAAGTCTCTGTGTTCGATTTGGCAATAAGGCCTACTCTAAAAGGGTCCGCATGCGAGCGCACCATGGAAATTTGATTGGTAGAAGCAGGGTTTCATTATTCTTGATCTGTGCTGGATTTCGTGGACTTGGATGAGCTTTCTTGTTGAATGAGATTCTATGTTCAGACTTTCTTAAAGTCGCTGTCTTCTAACCTTCTCGGTGTCTCACTAGTCGACAGCCCTGTCTCAGACATGATAGCTAAGATTAGCAGTCCGAGTGCATAGGAACCGCCACGAAAGCTGCTCACCCTCTTCAATACTTGTATGCGCAGGCAATAGCCGGGGAATTAAGGATTCTTCCAGTATCCTCGATGCTTCTCTACTCTGTGCTCTCTGTTTGGGTTTGGCAGTGGCTGTCCTTTCAAAACGGTTGTGCCCTAGCTATTCTAGCCCCTTCAGGCACCACCCCCATCTCTTTGGTGAATGAAACGTCTCTGTTGAGGGGTCTGAACTATCCTCCACTTGATTTCGCAGTCGAGTGGGTAGCTGGAGTCGGCATAGCAGCTGGCTCCTATCCGGAAATGCTGGGATGGCGAATCATAGCGGACTATTTGTCAGGAGCTCTTCTCCAGCCGTGGGGCGAACCCATCAGGTCTCGGATCATTCGCAGAGAAGGTTTGGAGCTGTATGTGAGCGGATATCCCACAGGCGGAATGATTAATGTTGACCACGTCGCTTGGGGATTTGACCTAGCATTTAGCGAGATGGAGAATGCGGAACGATTTGATTATGGGCGCTATTACTTCTTGCTGGATGATACTCGTCGTGGTTTCTTGGAGTTTCGTGAGGCAACGCCTCATCAGACTGAAGACTATGAAGGGAAGGTCATTTATGAAGCGTCTTCAGACTATCCTAAGAAGTCGTTGCAAATAGAAGCATTCCGATACAGCGACATTGAGCACCCAGAATTTCATCAAGTCAATGCGCGGGCATTTCTTGCAGGGCTACTCAGACAGATGATCTTCTCTGCAGAGATAGGTATTGCTTTGCCCAATTGGCTCCACCAAAGAATGGCCAGCTTTAGCCTTGACGGGGCCCTATTTACCTTCGGCAATGATGCTCGCCATCCCGAGTCAGAATGGGCATCTTCAAGAATGATGTCTGGGTGCGGGTTCTTAGTCACATGTTGACCGTTCCTTTTGAAGTTGACCCTCCGAGATTTTATCCTATAATGACCTTCATGTCTATTAGGCGCCGGGATGTCTGGATTCCAGTCATCCAATGCAGTGTCTGCTCAGAAGATCAGCCAGCACAGAATTTCAGTTTTAATAGCATGTTGAGAAGACGAAATACGGTTTGACATTTTCCGATAAAGAAGACTATAAAAGACTTATCCGAACACACCCTGATAGTCGACCATTTCACCGCGCAACCCTTAGCTGTATATATTGGTCGACTGGTCATGCAGTAGGCGAAGTACACATACCAGCGTTCAAACTAGTAGACTAGTGCTGTATCAAGAAGAGACTTGAGGGCCTGTTGACCGACGGTCTTGTACTTCCCTCTGGCCAAACCATGATCAACATATTCGATACCTGCATTAGCCTACATCGACCACAGTGCGTCCCCTGCTCTCTTGGCCTCCATGCCTTTAGGGTCAACGCTACTCCTTCTCCTCCCTTTCACACCTGATCTTTTACTCGGCCTCGTTATCCCCACCCATATACCGCTCTCCTGTCCGCTCTCCAACCCTTCATGTACTCCTCAATAATTCTTTTCCCTCCATAACCACGACTCTCTCTTCAATCTATGCGGTTCAATAATTACGGTTGCCCCTTTGAATGTTTCTGTGAGGAGGGATTGAATAATTGTGTCAGTCGTTGGGTCTGTGGCTGGGAGGTCGTTGTCTAGGATGCTTATTTCTCACGGTCAACCGTGAGGCTAAGAATAGAGTCCTATCCCAGAAGCGCACCAGAGAGTTCATAATTG